GATACAACAGTGTACCGCAAAGCTTGCGATCCAGGCAACCTCTTAAGCTTTAACTCTCATCATTCTGTCGAATATAAAAAAGCTGTCGTAAAAACCCCACTACATCGATCAGAACGCATTTCTTCTAATCCTAAATTGCGCGCTTCTGAGGATGCTGTTATTTTTGACGTGTTGATGAAGCGAAATTATCCGAAACGTTTTATTGATAACACCCGCAAACAGATGGGACAAAGAAGAAGTCAGGCTAATGAAAGACTTAGGACAGGGCAACTAACAATAGCCTACTTGAAAGGTGTTTTTGAGTCTATTCGCAGTGCCCTCTCCCCTTTGAATATCCGCACAGCTTTCAAACCTCATCGTAAACTACGTGACCTCATTTCTAAACCTAAAGATTACGCCCCCCAGAGTCCCAGTGCGCTGTTGTGTATAAAGTGCGTCACAGTCTAGACACTGTTTTGTATGGACTGTGACGCGTCCTACATTGGGGAGACAGGCTGAAGGTGCTGCACTCGCCTAAACGAACACAAATGAGACGTTTTGAAGGCAAGGCATGCGACGAGAGCGAAGACGGAACTCGTAGACAATTGTTGGAGTACGGGTCACAGTTTCGACTTTCAGAATGCGTCCACTGTGGCGCGTGAACAAAGGTGGAACCAGTGTTGTACGGAACGGCGTTCCAAGGAACGGCGTTCCTGGAACGCGTTCCTTTTAGGAGGAACGAAGGAACGCCGCCGTTCCATTTGGCATCGGTGGAACTGGAACGGGAACTCGTTACATTTTTACGAGAACGGAAAAGGAAACGGCGTTCCTTTTTTTCGTCCAATGGGGTAATTTGTATTTTATTTCTAAAAAGGAACGTCTAAAAGTATAAAAACCATATATTTACAAAGCGCAGGGTCTGGTTAAAATTTTGGTTACTTAGGGCTTATGTTGTGTAGTCCTCGCTTGGTAACACTGGGGTGCAGGAGAGCTAGTGGACATTTATTATTTTTGCAGTGCCCGAGAGTGCGGTACGAAACGCAAAACGTTTGGTCGAAGGAAAAGACACAGAAAGAGGGACGTTTCAAACTTAGCCACTTTCTTTTCTTCCACGAATACTCATACACCCAGAAATCTAAGGCCAACTACATCCATCACTGAACTTCCACAAACAGACCTACAGTTACAACAAAAGGACAGGTTACCTGACATGGAACCAGACTTGTGCCTATCTCAGATACAGATAATCTACTCAAGATACTGTATTTCAGATAATTTTTGAAGAATCTTGGTATCTTGCAAATACTTCTGATCTAGAGTATTTGATACTCTATTTTAATTACATTCCTGAGTACCTTGTACTCATTATCTGAAATACATTTTTTGACATTTCGCCATTTTCCGACTTTTCCGGTATGAAGTGGCGTGGGCGTGGCACGAGCAAACGTGAACATTCTTTCGAGCAACCAAATCCTGTTGCTAGCTCCGATTAGCTGCGGTGACTTTGGTTGAGCTCGTGAAAACATCGCTTTTTTGCCGATTGTGACTCATATTTCAGCCCAAATTTCGTAGAATGAAGGTTTTCCCCTAGCCTTCTCAAAGGTGACTTTTGTTTCCTGAACTCTCCCCCCAAAACTCCCCAAACAAAAGGAGTGGTTTTACGGATGTAAAGATTACCACACTGAGGCGCGACGCAGACCGGGGAAATGACCTACGACAACAATAAAAACTTGAGTTTCAAGAAAATAATAATAAAAAAAAAAAGATAAGCGGACAAAAAAATTGTTTCGCTTTGTGTATCTTTGACCCTGCTGCGGCAAAACGTCACGGTTTTTTGTTGTTTATTTTCTTTTTTGTGATCAGTCCGTCACTTATTGCTGTCGTAAACACTGTCTGTAAGCGAACATTGATAAGCTGCGAACAGGACAGGAAACGGACAACGAGCAAGGTGACCTCTCAAAATGCCAACAAAACGTCCCCAAACGTGGAGTGCCTTTCTGAACAACACCTTATTATGTGGGTTCTCTTCGTTTTCAATTCACTCATATCCGTATTTCAAGTCGTTTATAGTGAACTCCCCATAGAGGGAATATGGATTGTCGTTGAACGATCCGTCTAGGGTGCGCCGCAGGACATGAGATTCAGTAATGTCACTATTGGCAAGACGCTCTATCCCGTCTGTTGCCCCCACACCTCGGTGTATACCTAACACAAGGTCTTTGCACATGGCCACAGGCCTTGCGTGCATGTTCATGTCATCTTCTTTAATAGAGCGCGGGGCACAGTGTAATGTAAAAATACTAACAAAAAACGAAATGACGTCAAGTGCCGGATCTCTCCCGAAAGCAGTCGTCACAGGATGCTAGCTTGATCCACTTGGGCTTTTGTACTGCGCTAGGCACCGTGCATGCTGCATTGTTCATGCAAGCCGGAGTGGTAACAAAAAAGACTCTCCTCCCACTCACCGGAGAACACGAACTCCGAATCCAGTCGAACGCTGACGTCGCGTTCGATTATGTCAGCCGAGCGCCGAGTCATTGTATTCTTTGTCCCTGTCCGTGTAGTTCTGAAGTTAACCACTTGGGGTGCCACGGTCTGATCTCCTCCCCTTCGTTTTGTCCCAGAAATGTTTTGTAACATGTATCAGTGATATTGCCACGCGCGTTGCCGAGCAAACGCGTGGCCGCACTTGGCTCTCGCGCGGAGGCTCCGGGTTTGATTCCAGGGAGCGGACTCCTCTTTTATTTATTCTTTCAACTTGACATTCTAGTTACGTCGAAAACCTTGTCGTCTGATTGAGTTACGAATGTTTTGCGCGCCGAACATTCTAAGCCTAATGTTCCAGAAGCCCACGCGGGTACAAAAGGTGCTCCGAGTGGCGGTCCGAAGTCACTCTCGAGTATCGCCCCAGCGCTCGATCCTGGTGTTTCGCCAACATCGACGCCTGCGACGCTAGCCTTGCTCTATTTCGTTTTGGCTACAAGTTTGCCCCATTGAACGTTCAGTTTCTTCAATTATTCGCCGCCTAATCATTTGTCATTCGTTACAATATCCTGCTCCTTATAGTTGGACTGCATAAAAAAGCCCTACGATAATTCCCCCCCCCCCCCCTTTTTGTATTGTTGCATGTTAATAAACCATTCGGATAAGCCAGGTTTGCGCAGCCGTATAATTGTCCTTGTGTCTGACGTCAATGAAAACTACGCAATTCGGAAGTATCCGCAAAAGTAATTGAGTTACATTTCTAAGTATTTGTACTCGACTCAAGATACTTTACAGTGAAAGTAAGTTGGGTAGTATTTTAAATACTTCATGGCGCAGGTATTTAGTAACTTAACTTAAATACTTTTATCGAGTATTTTGTCCAAACTGCATGAAACGCACCCTTGTATCCCAAATATTGGTCACTTAAATGATACAAAAAATTAATCTTTGCCTCTCCCCTTGTCCCCAACCTTCAAACAGAACAACGAATCTTCACTTCACGGAGAAGGACTTGTATTTTTCAAGACTAACCTTCGAAGGTCATACCCTCTTCTTTACTTGCTCGTCTTGCGGACGCCAACATCGAGAAGCAACCGTTGTTAAGTTCGAACAAGGGTCTTTGTTAGATTGAAACGTGTGAGGTTGTTGAAAAAAAGGTCGTGCAATGTGGGCTAACAGTACAGTTGGCTTCTATGAATCGCCCATCCCAAACAGGAATGTGGTAAAACGCTGAGATTTGAAGAGGTGAATATTTCAACAAAAAGAACTCTGCTGTCGTGTGTCTTCGTCTCCTGTTGCCCTGCCATCACTGCATTCAAATTCTGTGCTGGCGTTTAATGGGATAGATTAAAAAAATAAAGCTTTGCTTGATCTAACTAATTATGGTAATCAGAAAAAAATGCGAATGTAACGTATATGTAACGATACGTTTCATTTTTTGAACTGCAACGGGAACGAGTTCCTTTTTCAGAGATGGAACTTGTAACGGGAACGCGTTCCAAAAATCAGAAGGAACGAGGAACGAGCTTTCGTTCCTTTTTTTCAGGAACGTGTACAACACTGGGTGGAACCATAGTTCATCCGAAGTGACTCATCGGCTTGCGACTCCAACCGCGGCCCCCTCCCCGATGTGTACGCGAACTTGCTTAAGTTCGCGTACACATCGCGAACTTAAGCAAGTTCGCGATGTGTACGCTGTTACTGTTTTAGAGTGCAGCTCTTAGGCGCCCGTTTCCAGCCTAAGCGGCGTCGCCGTCGCCGTCAGTGTAACCGAGGTCACCCCCAGGGTCACGTGACCCTCCAAGGTCACCACAAGGTCACGCGACCCCCCAAGGTCACGAGACCACCAAGGTCACGTGACCCCCAGAGGTCACGAGACCCTAAGTCACGTGACACCCTCCCAGGTCACGTGACCTCGGGGGGGGGGGGGGGGTCACGTGACTTGGGGGAGGGGGTCACGTGACCTCAAGGGGGAGGTCACGTGACTCCCCAAGGTCACGTGACACCCAAGGTAACGTGACCCCCCCCCGAGATCACGTGATACCCTCCCCCAAGTCACGTGAAACCCCCCCCCCCCGCGAGGTCACGTGACCCCCTCCCCCCCAGGTCAGGTAACCCCCCCGAAGCATATTCAAGAATGAGAGGAGGAGAAGGAGGAGGAGGGGTCTACCCTTCCCCCAGTACCCTTCCCTCCTCCTCCTCAAGAGCTGCGCTCCAATTCGGCGTTACAGGGAGTTGTAAACGGCTTTCACTTTTTTCGCTCATTCCTGCTTGAAGGTTTCACTGATGACGTTTCCCGTATGGGAGACGAAACGTTTGATTAAATTGTTAATCTTGTTAAGTAAAGTCGGCGCAGTTTTTTGATCATTATGATTCCCGGCTTTTGGAATATTTGCACTCAAAATTATCTTCAGAATATCTGAAAATGCAGACTCGTCGTTGAACTCGCGTCAGCTGCTGTAGTTGCCCTTAAAGCGAGCTGTCTTCTCTTCGTAAAAAAATACCTGGGTCTCATTTTTTTCTTTCACACGCAGATGTGTCAACTCACTTCGGCGTTCCGCTTCAATGTAATTCCAGGCTCGAATGTGGTGCTAGGCTTTGACCGCGGTAATTCCAATTACAGCGTCGCTTACGACAGTCTCAACACTACCATTACGAAGGTAAGTGCCACAAATACTTTCAGCATCTTGTGTTTATTGGTGTTCCGATTGGTTTATTTTTTTATCATATCTGCCCCTTCAATTTAATTGCGAATATATACAGAATTTATATATATATATAATGTGATTGTCGCTAAAGGTCGTACATGATGATTTAATTTTGGATGGGTTTTACTATGAGGCGTGATGGAATGGCGGTTCGACAATGCCCCCAGCCAAAAAGCACGAGCCTTCTGGGTGCGCGTCTTCAGACCGAGCTCTTTGTCTTCCTCTTTTCCTAACATTATCCCCCGGCTTGTGGAGGCGCCGGTCATCCCGCGGCTTCTGATGGGACAAGGGTTGTGCAATTAGCCGTTCGGGCGGTGATAGGGCCGAATTCGTGCGTCGCGTACAATGTCTGACGCGTGCGACCGACGGTCTCGACGGGGCGACAGAGGTGCCACCTCGTAGTTTGTGGTCGACAGTTGGCGGATGACGCGCAGAGGCCCGATGTACTTGTTCTGGAGCTTTCTATATCTTCCAACAGCACAAGAAGGTGACCAGAGGAGTACTTCATCTCCGATGTTGTAAGTCGCTGGGCGGTAAAATGAGTTATAGCGGAGCATATGTTGCTGTTGCAATAGGGACGTGTGGAGGCGGGCGATTTGGCGGGCGTCTGCGGCTTGAGAGACGATATGGGCGGGATAGGGGTCCAAGGGAGGATCGTCTACGTAGGGGACAGTGGTGTCCAGCATTGTGAAAGGTTCTCGGGCGTAGAGACGGTAATATGGGGAGTAGCCAGTAGTTGATTGCGAACCGTATTGTAGGTATATGTGGTGTAGGGCACGACGGTATCCCAAGTAGTTTGGTTGTTACAAACATACATTGAAATCATTTAGGTCGAAGAGTGGTTGAGGCACTCGGTAAGTCCATCAGTTTGCGGATGGTATGCGGTCATGACAATATGAATGGTGGATGCCATTTGCAGAACTTCGCAAAGAAGCTGCGAAACGAAAGCGTACCTCGGTCACCTATAATATATTGCGGCGCGCCGTGGCGGAACAAAACATTCTGCAAGAAGAAGGTGGCAACTTCTTCGGCAGTGGCAGTTGCAACGCATTTGGTTTCAGCGTAGTGGGTGAGGTCGTCAATGGCTACAATAATCCACCTATTGTTCGTTGTTGAAGGAGAAATGGACCCAGCAGGCCGAGCTCTTTGCTTCCTCTTTTCCTAACAAGATATATATATATGGGCGGTTTCATCTCAAATCGTGCAGGCAAAAAGGGTCGAATTTTTAATTTTGATGAAAAAAATATATGTTATGGCGCGGTTTCTAAAACCGCAGTCGACACAAACCGCAAGTTCGTCGGATTTTTCGTTCTCGACTTATGAATTCTTAAAGAGGCCGCGGCGAAAAGCAGTGTTTTTCACACCCGTCGTGGGTCGGATGTTTCGCTTGATCTCCCGCCATGGATTTTCAGTCCACATTATATTATCTTTTTTTAGGCACTCTGTGGGCACATTTAAAAGGCTCCAATGCCATGAAATAATTTTAGGCATTTTGCTTTTTTTCTGTAAAAATGTCAAAAACGCCTCCTCGGTCAATTGTTGACGAACTTTGACAATTAATTACTGGAGATCTACTTGGGTTATACCGATATGTTTTATGTCCACGGAGAGCCCAAAACACACTCTTTCTATTTATTATAAAATTCCTTGGCTGTATAAAATATTCTTCGCGGTACGTTTACGTTAATATTATGCAAAAACCAAAAAGTACCATTTTTGAAATTGATTTTCTCAAAAAACTTATTTTTTATTTTTTTTATTTTTTGTTCAAATGTAGATATGATAGTTGTCTACACGAAAATCAAGCCTAGAGAGTGTATATTTTGTTTGCATGTTTTATATTTAGGCCTCCATATCGGAAAAAGACGTCTTTGTTTTGCAAGACCTAAGTCAGACATAGCGACCCATACGTCTCTATGAATTGCGAAAACGTTTTCTTGAATTTTCTTCTGCATTTTGTAATCAATTATAAACAGATTTTGTGGTATTGAATATTTATGTATGTTTTGATAAGAGCGGGAACCATGAGATACATATCTAACCAAATCAGCAGGCCCAGTAGACTTTCAATAACCAAAAGGCACAGAGGTCGTATTGTTTCGATTTATAAACCTTTCAAAGTAAACTAGCACGACTATCTATTAGCTGTCATATTACTAAGACAAAGAAAGTCACCACATTGTCGATATATACAATTCTTTACGAAACCAAACACTGGGGCTTGTTCACAGCACATCGCACAGGTCACCAGGGAATGTCCTTTCACTTCCGTAATACACAAAAGTGGTTACACAGAAACGGTCCGAAACACACAGAGAGTGTGTCATGGAGAGGGGTAGGAAATAAAAATAAATAAATAGGAATTAAATTGCCCAACTCCCATCTTAACGAAAATTGCGTTAAAAAAAAATAAAGTATTTAGGTTCGAGTGGTGGCAAGGCTATAGGTCCACGGCTGGTGGAGAGTCAGACAAAGAAGTCGACGGCACGTAAAGGTAAAACAAAAAAAAAAAATCAATAATTTAATAAAGAGGGAAAACTCAGCCGCACATGACACGAACAAAAAACAACTCCCCCGGGCATTCCCTAAACGGGACGCAACCAAATGCGTGCGAACAGGCTCTCTACATCACCGCCTGGCCGCTACGCCATGCCGAAATAAACCCAACAACCGAACAGTGCTAACAAAAAGTTAGTAAAAAAACATTGAAAAAAAAAAAACGTTCAGAAAAAACCGCACCCGAGAAACAAAGTTCAGCGGGGCGAAGAAACACGCACGAGTCGGTCCCACGACATTGAAGTCTGCAGGATGACGGCGTCCAGATGATGCTCTAATCTGTTCCTCCCTCTATTACGCACATCCACGACGGCTGTGCGGAACAGTGGCTGTACGAAAGAAAGTGAAGAATAGATTCGAGCAGGCGATGCGCGAGAAGGTAACCGAGACTATGCTTCAAGCTTCATATCGGGAGAGGAGCTTTCGAGGTAGTTTCTGCAGTTACTCAAACTTTCTCTGTCCCCTTTCCTTTTTCAAAAGAACACGTCAGCCGGCGCTAACGTTTCATCTCGGGAGAAGCCCACTCTTCACAAACGGTTATAGTTGACAAGGAGGCTGACTTCGACCCAACTAGTCTCCGGGCAGAATACAAAGACAAGTATATTTACCAACACGCTCGTTTTAATGTCAGTCTCCGGGCTTTGCTGTTTCCAAAAGAGATAACCCTTTATAAGGACAGAACGAGCGGGTTGGTGGGGATAATTAAACTTAAACACTCCCTTCTCGTTTTCTTCCTCAAGTTTAATAGATAACCCTTCGGTGCTATCGGATCTCCCCGGAGAGAGAGAGAGAGCACGGCCGTTTCAAGGTAAGGATAGGGCGCTCGAAGCTAGGGCAAACAGGCGGTATCGTTTCACGCATGCACGGATGACTGGTTTCAAATTCCCCCACATCCCTAACGAAACCGGCCCATCTTCGTGTGTGCGTCTGCGGGATTTCTGTCCCGCGCCGCCGGTTTTAGCGCGCACGTGGCGTTGTTTTGGCTGGCAGAACAGTTGTTGACCGTCGACATTGTAAGGCCCTGGTGTCCTCATCCTTTCAGGCAACGATTCCATTGCTTTCCCTTGTGCAATACTCTGACAGACTCCTCCTGGGTGGCTGTCACTGTTCGCCGCGTCAACGACAGAATCGTACCATTTCCCTCCTCGTGACACAGGGTGCGCTGCTCGCTTTACTGTCACGGGCCGTCCCATCTAACACAACGAGCGCGAAAGGTCGTGGTCATCTGCTGGCTCCGAAAGGGCGGGACGTTCATGCAGGCCAATGAGGGCCCCGAATCAATAAGACGTCTGCCGACTCCTACACGTTAAAAATTTACGACACCTGCTGCTCTGTTAATAAGTGTTGCTTTTTCTTTTTGGAACTCCTCCGATGTAGCTTGCCGCCTATAATAAAATTTAAATAATCAATAAATATATCTGGGTGGAAATACTGTATTTCATTTTTATGTGGGAACGTTTAAAAAAAGAAAAAAAGTATTTCCAAGCTTGTGAAGACGCGCAATTCGCAAGTCCATTTGGAGCCGTAAAAACACTTTTTTGTACGATATTGATGCTTAAATGTAGAACATACAAACAAAATATACACTTTCTAGGCTTGATTTTCGTGTAGACAACTATCATATCTACATTTGAACAAAAAATAAAAAAAATAAAAAATGGGTTTTTTGAGAAAATCAATTTCAAAAATGGTACTTTTTGGTTTTTGCATAATATTAACGTAAACGTACCGCAAAGGATATTTTACACAACCAAAGCATTTTATAATAAATATAAAGAGCGTGTTTTGGGCTCTCCGTGGACATAAAAAATATCGGTGTAACCCAAGTATATCCCCAGTAATTAATTGTCAAAGTTCGTGAACACTTGACCGAGGAGGCGTTTTTGACATTTCTACAGAAAAAAAGCAAAAGGCCTAAAATTATTTCATGGTATTGGAGCCTTTTAAATGTGTCCAAAGAGTGCTTCAAAAAATATATTATAATGTGGACTGAATATCCATGGCGGGAGATCAAGCGAAACATCCGACCCACGACGGGTGTGAAAAACACTGCTTTTCGCCGCGGCCTCTTTAAAAATTCATATGTCGAGAACAAAAAATCCGACGAACTTGCGGTTTGTGGCGACTGCGGTTTTAGAAACGCCGCCATAACATATATTTTTTTCGTCGAAATTAAAAATTCGACCCTTTTTGCCTGCACGATTTGAGATGAAACCACCCATATATATATATATCAGAGTGTCGAACCGGAACCGAACCAAACCGAAAACCGGAACCGAACCGGTATTTTTTCCGGAACTGAACCCGAACTCGAACCGTTATATTGTTAGCGCGATGAACCCGAACCGGAACTGAACCGGAAAAAAAAATAACGGTTACCGGCTCATGTCAAAACG